TTCCTCTCTCCCTTCCTCTCTCCGTTCCTCTCTCCCTTCCTCTCTCCGTTCCTCTCTCCCTTCCTCCCTGCCTTCCGCTCTCCTTTCCTCTCTCCCCCTCTCCCTCCCCCNCCCTTCTCTCTCCCCCTCTCCCTCCCCTTCTCTCTCCCCCTCTCTCTTCTCCTCTCTCTTCTCCTCTCCCCTTCCCTCTTCTTCTCTCTCTATCACTTCATTGAAATAAAATGTTGTTTTGATTTGTTAGACAAAATCATTTTATTCTCATTTTACTAGAATTGAAGCCAAGAGCAAGAAGCCCACCACATAACCTTACTAACAACATTTGAATGCAAAACAAAAAAAAATCAATACAAAAAAAAATTACAAACATTTCAAAATATGTTGTTAGCTCTTCAGGAGGACATATTGCAAATGACAAATTTGGTGCATTCAAATTCAAATTGCAATAACAATTATTAATTTTCAGATTCACTGAAGTAAACTTCTGACATGAAATTTAAAACTTTTTGCAAAAAAAAAGAAAAATTAGTTCTATATGCGTAACATAAATATCAGTGACATTACTCCAGTCAAAATTAAAAACGAAAAATCATCAAAAAGAATTTTTTACTTCTTTTTGAAATAGTAAAAATTTATCTCGAAAAATTTTTTTTTTGAAAAAAATAGCTTATTAAAACTTGTCAATTTATTCCTCTGAAATATATTTCGATATACATTTTTTTTTTGATGCCCAAACATGAAGGAAGTATTAAAAATTGATGAGAAATGAATTTTTTACGGTTGATGGAGAAAAATAAATAATGCGATCCTCATTAATATTATATCAAATACAATACGTCCAAGAATTTGGTCATTAATGTTAATTAGTGGTAATTACTGTTTATGCGTTTGACTCATAACAGTGTTTTGTTGGAATTTGACTTACGCTAACTTATGCTTAAATTTAGCTTATACTAATATAATCATAAAATACAATCGACTGAGCAAATGGCATGACACTTTTAAAAAGCTTTGAATTATATGAGCTTTTAAAATTTTTAAAATAAGTTTATAACTTTTTTTGTCCTTATGAATGTTACAATTATGCCGTCATAAAAAGTAAAATGGAATTTAGCAACTAAATGAAAGGTCATAAAGTTCATTATCAATTTTTAAGAATATTATTTCAGATTTTCATTAAGCAAAAAAAAAATTCTACGCAAATAAATGTTTCGGAGAAAAATTTTACTTAATACAATGTTTGATTATATTTTCTAAATTTTTTATTATTTACGAATTAAATAATGAAAATTTAAAAACAAACAAAAGCTTCAATTTAAACTTGAATTTTTACTTGGTATTGGTGAAGAGTAAATCTTTTAAATTTCTCACTGGTTGGTCTTTCGATGACGCATGTATACTCCGAGAAGAACAGGCTTGAAAAAGGAAAAACTAGCCTGACAGAGGAAAAGACACAAACTTATGCTACTTGGCTTAATAAGTGTTTTAAGTCATTGATGCATTCCAGATTTTAAAATCATAGCAAATTTTTCAAAAGAAAAGTTTGATTTAAATAAGAAATATAACAAAAATTGGTTGCATATATTTTTTAGAATCATCAAGAAATAATGCAAAAAAAAAACAAAACGTCTGAATGAATTCTTTAAAATGTTTTCATTTAATTAATTTTTCGAAATCGATAATTTAGTAACGGATATTGAATGGACGAAGTGAGAATAAGTGAATGAAATGGTCGATTATTATCAAATTTTAAAATGTAAACTCATTATCATTGTGTTGCATTAAATGACAAAATTTTTCTCATGAAGCACAATAGGCATGTGCACTGATCAATTTTTCGTGATCTCTTCCTTTTATTTTCGAAATTCACTTTTTGAGCACAATATTTTATGTTTTTTAAAGATTTGAAAAATGATGAAGAAATTAGTTTGAAGCAATTATTAAAATTCTATTTTAATAATTGTTAAATATTATGTGATTCGAAGCGATTGCTTCAATGTTCATTAATTTTAATTAGTATTCAAAAAGAAAATTATTGCAAATACGATAATTTCAAAATGACTTCTCCTTCATTTTTTTTTAAAAAAAAATTGATCTTAGTTTTAGAAAACGTATTTTGAACGAATTTCAATGCCATATAAATTTTAGATTAGTTTTTTACCATTCAAAAAATTATTCAAAAACTACTCAAAAAAGAACTTCTGCAGGTACGATAATTAAGAAAAATGTGCTTTCTTCCTATCACCATCACCTTTTTCTTCCATCTTTCAAATTCAATAAATCGTAATTAAAATTTGATGGGTGCAAAGTTTCTGACTGTTAAAAATAATCTTCTTGGTGAGCTTTACAAGAGAGAGAGAGAGAGAGAGAGAGAGAGAGAGAGAGA